TTGATAGAGAGTTATCCCGTGGTCTAAAAGGAATTTTTAAGAATGTCAATTATAAACTTGTGTATAGTGCTAATAATAAATTACAACAATTATTAGGTAATCCAAAGAATAAAACACCTCCACTGGAAAGGTCGGGTATTTATGAAATTTCTTGTAAAGATTGTAATCAGAAATATGTTGAGGAAACTAGAAGATCAATATTAACTAGATTTAAAGAACATTTAGCTCAGATAAGATATGGTAGACCGGATAAATCTTCCGTTGTCGAACATATTGTTGATAAAGAACATTGTATAGGTCTTAATAATTTAAAATTAATTAAACAAGTCTCAAATTACAGACAATTAGATGCATATGAAAGCATCAGAATTAATAAATGTAAAGATAGTATGAACAGAGTCAACGGTCCAATCCCTTCAAGTTCTTTGTTCCTACTACTCTAGTGGCGGAAATCTAACTGTTACGCTCAGTTGGTTCTGACTCGATTGGCTAGATTTTGCCACGCCCACTCGGGGCCCACTGAGCGAGTATATAAACGCTCAACTTGTCGATTGTACTTTAGTTTATAATCATCTGCTGATGATGCTAACATGGTTAGCGAAACGCGCGTCCAGTGTAAAAGTAAAAGTGTTTTGGTGTATTGTGGTGATTTAGTGTTTTTATTTTGCTGTGTAACACCAAAGGTTCCAACCCTCAACTGTAACCCTCTCTTACCAACCCCCACCCCCACCAAAAACTAATAGCCAGATTCTCGGGTGCCACAGTATTTTTGTGCCAAATTTGGTTAAATACGGTTTAGCGGTTTTTGAGTTATCGTGTTACAGACGGACAGACAGACACAGACACCATGAAAATATTTTGTATTTAGGCTCAATAACTCATTTTGAGTGAAATTAAAAAACTTAAAACTTTTTTTTGCCGATCTTAATAGCCTACCATACCTTAATAGCCTACCATACCCTGGCATGGTCCGCTAAAAATAAAGTTACTACTAAAATGTACCACAATTGTGCCACAATTTTATGACCGATCCTGTATACTTAAATTTACTAATAGGTAATAGGCATTTAAAAACTCATTACCACTTGGTAACAGTATCACAGTTTCGGCACAATGGCATCATTAAATGGAACTGAATATATCGAAATTAATTAAATCAAATTGTGTAAGTGATATTTTCAAAAGTCAATAATTCGGAAACGGTTAGTTTGAGGTACATTGTGTGTATTCCGATTTTTGCTTAGAACTGAAGGAAGAATTGAAATATGCAATAATATACAGGGGGGTTTATTTAAAAAATGAAACTTTTATGTGCCACGACTTTATGACTGACCCTGTATACTTAAATTTATTACTAGCTAATATATATTTAAAAATCCTGTAACTTCTTTATTCAACTTTTAATAACTTAAAAAATAAAATAAATTTTTGTCTTTAAAAAGCTACTGTGAACCACGGAAAACATAAATTTTCCTGCGGAAATGCGTAATTTGCAAATTTCGCACTTTAGAATAACTGAAATCTGCTATAAAAAAATACTAAAAATTTTGCGTTTTATTTTTAATATTTTTCTGAACATATAAACACAAAAATTTTCCTGCGGAAATAAGCTGTTTTCATTTTCTAAAGAAATTTATTAGACTTTAGAATAGCTGAAATCAGTTATATAAAAAATAAATATATTTTTCCCTTTAAAAGCATTCACGAATTGAGGAAAATAAAAATTTACCTGCGGAAATAAACTGTATCCATTTTCTGAGGAAATTTAATAGACTTTAGAATAGCTGAAATCAGTTATATAAAACATTAATATATTTTTGCCATTTAAAAGCGTTTACAAACTCAGGAAAATAAAAAATTTTCTGCGAAAATGCTTGATTTTCATTTTCCATTTGTTCCTTATTATATTATCGGGTCTTGTAAAGTATAAGTACCCACGAATTTAGCAATTTCTTTTTGGCAGAAAGTCCTTTGCTTATAGAACAGTTTAAAAGAAAAAAAATCCTTGGATGAAGCACTTTTGAACGAAAAAAAAAATCATTTAAAAGTGTCCAAAATGCTAACCAATCTAATAATAAATCTAATAATATTTTTACAAAATCACAGTTAATTATTAAAATATAAAAACCACAGCCTAACACCCTCTACAAAGAAAAGCTAACCAAAGCAACCCAAATCCTAACCAATCTAATAATATTTTTGCAAAATCACAGTTAATTATTAAAATATAAAAGAAAACTGCATGATCCAATGATTTTTTGTTTTGAATCAGCCCTATTTACGTAAAGCTTTAAAAAAACAAGAATAAGTTCAACATTCCGAGGTACTTATCGTTTACAAGAACCTATATTATTTATTCTACAAGAATTGTTATTCCTCCGAAAGTTGTTTTACCCCACCCAGCACCCCTTTACGCTCTCGGGTCCCGTAAGCTTCTAAACCGAAAAATGTATGAAAAACGAAGTGTACAAAATGACATTGATACATTTCCGCAGGAATTTTTTTGTATTTCTTTGCACGTAAAGGCTAAAGTCCGAAAAATAAAAATGACGCATTTCCGCAGGAGAATTTTTGTATATTTGTACTCCTAACGCCTTCTAGAACGCATATATAAAGTCATTTTTTATATAACAGATTTCAGCTAAACGAAAGTTGAGCCAAACTTGTGATATCTCATGTAAAACCAAGTCAGTTTATTTGATTTAATTTCTACTGAAGCACCTATTCAATAATTTTGTTATAAATTATTATTACCAATATTTTGGCAATGGCACGACGCCCTCCCCCCCATAATAATTATTAAAGAATCTATCATTTCGATTACTAAGTAAATCTAAGAATAAAGTATCTTAATTAGTAGAATATTATGCAGTGCAATTAATTATTATAGAAATAAAGATATGTCTAATATTGATACTAACAATTTTTATAACAAAATTGTTGAATAGGTGCTTCAGTAGAAATTAAATCAAATAAACTGACTTGGTTTTACATGAGATATCACAAGTTTTTTAGTAGGTATATACAGGGTTGTTCACCACATACGACACGGAGTATTGTGGCTAAACGATGATATTTTTACAAATTGTAAGTTTGGGGTTCGTTGAAGGACTATTAGAGCTACAATTTAAAAATATTTTTACAAGATACAGAGTGTCCCAAATAAATAAAAAATATCAAAGTTGTATTTTTTTAAATGGAACACCCGTATATTATTACATTTTTAGTTTCTACGATTAAAATAAAGGTAAATTTGATTAAGATTTATTATACTTAAACCTTACCGTTTTTGAAACATTTTCAATTTTGTGAAATTGCAGTAAAAATTTTAAAGCTTCATTTCTCCAAGGGTATCAATGTTTTTAATACTAAATATTAAATGAAGTTTATTTATTGATTAGTTATTATGTTGCATTAATAAAAGTAATACTACCTTATACAGAGTGTCTACAAATTTATTTTAAATAATTATTAGCTTCAAACGGCAACAACTTCTTTAATTTAAATAGAATGCCCTGTATATTTTAGGAGAATCAGATGCACAATTAAATTGTCTATCAAATTGTATTATACCATTTTTTACCTATCCCTTCAAGTTTTCGTATAAAATGCATTTTCTTATAATTTAGACCTCATTTATCAATATATCAATGGAATATTGACATTTTAGATTGTTTTTAAAGCAACAAATGTACAAAATGTACAGACTAGTAATATTATCGTTTTTAGCAAAACGATAATATTACTAGCCCATTTGTATGCAAAAAGAAAACTATTTAAATCTTTATAAAAGAGTATACCATTAATTAAATATAACACCATTATTTGCGCCCATATACTAATTAATTACATACTTAATTGTGTTCGTTATTAAATTATTATAAATAAATGTGGATTTGAGTCAGAAATCAATATAATAATAAGTTATCAAATTAAAGTCTCTGTAGTTATAAATAAGCATTTATTAAAAAATGAATATCATTTTTAAGGTGTTACTTTTTATCACACTGTCTAATGCCCATACAAAATTCAGTTTTTTAGTATTTGGAGCAATTATTATTAATCAACGCAAATAGTCTGTTAATGTAGTTTGAATACTGGAATCATATTAATTGATCCTCTTTAATAAATATTTAAACAATTTTTCTTATTTTTTAATGAAATAAACTAATTATATCGACAATATTAGTATCTGTACTCTTTAAAAATTTGGTTCATCTTTAAAAATAATCTAAAATGTCAATAGTCCATGGGTATATTGATAAATAAGTTCTAAATTACAAGAAAATACATTTTCTACGGAAACTTAAAGAGATAGGTAAAAAATGGTATGATATAATTTGATAGACAATTAAATTGTGCATCTGATTCTCGTAAAATATACAGGGTGTTCCATTTAAATTAAACAAGTTATTGCCGTTTGAAGCTAATAATTATTTAAAATAAATTTTTAGACACTCTGTATAAGGTAGTATTATTTTTATTATTGCAACACAATAACTGATCAGTAAATAAACTTCAGTAAATATTTAGTATTAAAAACTTTGATACCCTTGGAGAAAATGAAGCCTTAAAATTTTACTGCAATTTCACAAAATTGAAAATATTTCAAAAACGGTAAGGTTTAAGTATAATAAACCTTAATCAAATTTACCTTTATTTTAATCGTAGAAACTAAAAATGTAATAATATACAGGGTGTTCCATTTAAAAAAATACAACTTTGATATTTTTTACTTATTTGGGACACTCTGTATCTTGTAAAATTATTTTTAAATTGTACCTCTAATAGTCCTTCATCGAACCCAAAACTTATAATTTGTAAAAATCTCATCGTTTAGCTACAATACTCCGTGTCGTATGTGGTTGTGACAACCCTGTAGAAGAAATGGGTTGCTATGTTTTTGATTGGACATGTATTTGTATTTTATTTTGCCTTATGTCAGTTATAATAATTTCGGACAAGACTTTAATAAATAGATTTGACTTGATTAAAAATACCTGTAGTTTTTTGCTCCTATAGTCCAGTCTTCCAATAATGGTCCCCATACTTCTTGTTCGTTCCACGCTGTAGGGCTATTTCTTTTCGTTACATGACTATTGTTTGTGAAGTAAATCGCGCGAACATTATTTAAATATAAACAAATAATCGTGAAAGTCCAAATGGACCGTTCAGACATTGTAGTTTTTGAAACGCGAACAATTTACACAGGGGTTGAAATACCGCTACGTTACCAATAATTGCCTCTAATAACCTTTTATTAAAATATTGGCTACTTTTTTTTATTTCGTTACTACTACATCTACAAGACTTAAAAATATTATAAAACCGTTTTCTTAGTAATCTTGTAACTGAAATAATTTTTACGACACATAGATGTTTGTTGATGTTCCGGGACCTACTTTCACATTGCTATACGGGAATTCCATTAAAGACGATGATATTGAACCGGAGAAAGTCATTCTTACCAGTGGTGATGTGATTTTATTTTAGTATAACGATACCAACTTTGTCATTAATTATTATACATATATGTTATATTATTATAAAAAGAAATATATATTTTCAAAAAAGAAATTAACATTATAAATTTGAAAACACAGGAAGTTTGTTTGGATTCAAAACAGTTTTAGGTAAATTGTATTGACTTTCTAATAGTGGTTATACTATTTAAATTTTCAGTTTGAAATATGGTTTGAAATCAGGGGTGCAACTTTGTTCAAGTTAGCAACCGATCATTTAGAAGCGATGTCGAAACCAGATCGATACTATGTTCATTGCAAAACTATTGTCGCTCAAATGCTGCGAAATATGATATCATTATCACACTCTTGCACACGTGTGCGACACGGTTTAGGCTATGTCTAGGCAGTCGCCTCGCCACAAAGCGAGAAATCATAATATCGCTACGAATCGATGTTGCTACTGAACATAGTGCCTCAAGCTACAAATTACTTTACTATCGCTTTGAAACATGAACAAAGTTGCACCCCAGGAAAACCCTGTATAATGCTCAACCTGGGGTGCAACTTTGTTCATGTTTCAAAGCGATAGTAAAGTAATTTGTAGCTTGAGGCACTATGTTCAGTAGCAACATCGATTCGTAGCTATATTCTGATTTCTCGCTTTGTGGCGAGGCGACTGCCTAGACATAGCCTAAACCGTGTCGCACACGTGTGCAAGAGTGTGATAATGATATCATATTTCGCAGCATTTGAGCGACAATAGTTTTGCAATGAACATAGTATCGATCTGGTTTCGACATCGCTTCTAAACGATCGGTTGCTAACTTGAACAAAGTTGCACCCCTGGCTGAGCTCGCCCAGGGTCCGACAATAGTGCGTCGGGCATCTGTAGCTCCTAGAATAAAATACTTGGGAATTTTGTTTAAGTGCAAATTTAAAGTATGTACTAGGATGTATTTCGGGAAAATATTTTAACCTCTACAGGGTATCCCACAAAAGTGTGAGTGTATCGGGATGATTTTTTTTTAAATGGAATAGCCTGTACATTATTCCATTTTTGGCTTTCTTTCTGATCACTTTACATAATTTTAAGATATTTTAAAATATGTTTTGATAGTTCCAGAGATAATAATAAATAAATATAAAAAAATTTCAGCCTTTTTTTAAAAAAATTATGAAAAATACAGGAACTGTCCTGAAATCAAAACTATATTAGGCATTTACTTTAGATGGTCTCTACTTACTTTACTCTAAATATCGTAATCTTAAATCATACAGGGAGTTCAAAATTCTACGCCAAACTTTCTAAAATATAAAATAATTTTTCTTCGTTTTTATAATTGGAACACCGTGAATATTATTTTTTAATAGATGAAGAATTAAAAAATGAACATTTTTTGTATTTAGAGTATATCAAAATTTTTAACGGTTTCGCAGATATTTGCGGTTTTATATTTCATATGGCAATTTCCACAGTAAACTTTAATCAAAGCCACTCAATGATTTTTCTCTCGTATATTACCGTTGAAAACGCCATATGAAATAATACTGCGTGTATATGCGAAACCATTAAAAACTTTGATATACCGTAAATACAAAAAATGTTCATTTTTTAATTTTCCATCTGTTAAAAAATAATATACAGGGTGTTCGATTTAAAAAAAACGAAGAAAATTATTTTATATTTTAGAAAGTTTGGCGTAGAATTTTGAACACCCTGTATTATTTAAGATTACGATACTTATAGCAAAGTAAGTAGAGATCATCTAAAGTAAATGCATAATATAGTTTTAATTTCAAGACAGTTCTTGTATTTTTAATGATTTTTTTAAAAAAGGCTGAATAAATAAATTTTTTATTTACGTACGTAAATACATACATATACATTTACGTACAAAATGTCTCCTGGGAAAAATCGCTACGAGGAACCACTCTCAAGATATTTAGAATGGAAATAGTCAATATATGTCATTACTGACAAAAAATAAACATGTTGATAGTTCTTAGTAGATGTAGATAGTTACTTATTTGATTGAAATTATTTTTGGTAACTTTTTATTTTTTTAATTATCATAAATTTTTCTTCAAAAAATGATGATAAAACATTTTCTGTTGCACTTTTCGCACAAAAACATTTAAAATTTATGATTTCAGTGTGCCAAATATCTCGAGAACCATTATTTGTACCGATTTTTACCAAGACACTAGTTTTATACAGGTAGGGACGAAAAGTTATAACTCTTCAAAAGAGTTGAAAAATATGTAGGTGGCGTCCTCTAGAAGTAGGAGTTATATTGACATCAAACTCAAATTTCTCATGTCAAAAAACTCCCAAACGCTTAGTTTCGGAGATTCATCTAAATATTGACGTTACTTCAGAAATTATTTGGAAAAAAATTGAAATAAAAATGAATCTCCGAAACTAAGCGTTTTAGGACATGCATTTATACGAACTATTATTTTACTTATTTTTATATGCAGAATATGCTGCCGAAATTTCCGGAATGCAGTCCGGATCACCCTGTATATGACTGTAGTTTTATGTTTTATATTACTGTTTCGTGCAATGTTCAGGATCGAAAAATTCTAAACGCAACTGTGCAACGTAACCATACCAATATTTTTTCCTGATAACTTGATAGAAATATTTGTAGAATTATCTGCAACTAAAGAGGTAGTAATGTATAGTAATTATAATATTTTCTGTGTACGGAAAAATAGTATAGAAAATATTATAATTACTATGTAAGTGTGTGTAAGGTGTAAGGAAAAATACTATGTATTTTGTGTAAGGAAAAATACAAATTGTACTTTCAGTACAAAACTATGGTACTCGGTACTAAACCCATCTTGTACTTTCTTTTATTTAATAATGTATTTTTAGTAAAACTATATAAAATATTTATTAACATTATACAAAAATACAAACAACATAAATGCACATACCATTTTTAATTATATTATTTTATTTTGTACAAAAATATCAGAAATACACTGTTAAATTTCCACTTTCTAACACCTTAGGTATAGAATCTAAGTCATTTAGATTTTCTGTACTGCCGGTTTCAGTCTGAAACAAAAAAATCTGTTATGTAATACATTTAATATACTGTAAGTTTCAAATACAAAATCAAATCACAAAACTTTAATAAAACATATTTCCAATTCAGTGTTCTTGGCGAATTTCAGTTCATTTTAAAAATTCCGACCTCAGCGCTCGATACAGCAGAAATCAGAAGTTTTCGCTCTCTATTTCAAGCAATTCTGATGTTGAGCGCATTGAAATAATACTGAAATCTTGGTTTTTTTTCATAATATTTAATTATTTTAGTTTTTAATAATGCAGTTATCGAAACTATAAAACACTCAAGTACGAGGTTTGTGTGATGTAAGGTTGTATAGTGTTTGACTGAGGTAGTAATGTACGTCTGCATTGCTTCTCTCTAGCCATGGCTGAAGTTTAGGTATAATCTTGTTAAGTCCCCCTACAAGATTTTCCTTGCATCCACTCTTCTTGCCATTTGTGCAGTAAATTTGCTCTTGCAGTATCTTTCGGTATTTTATTGTATCTCTCAGCTCGTCCTTCCACTAATAGGAGAATGCGGGCATTGCCAAAAATGAAGGAATTCTTATTTAATAAATGGAAAGAGAGATTAGCAACGATTGGTTCAAGACTCAATGGTTTAAACAATACAAATCACTGACAAATCAACAAATAACCACCATCTGTCGCCACCATTCAAACTATTGTTTATCGCAAAATAAAAACACTAAATCACCACAATACACCAAAACACTTTTACTTTTACACTGGACGCGCGTTTCGCTAACCATGTTAGCATCATCAGCAGATGATTATAAACTAAAGTACAATCTACAAATTGAGCGTTTATATACTCGCTCAGTGGGCCCCGAGTGGGCGTGGCAAAATCTAGCCAACCGAGTCAGAGCCAACTGAGCGTAACAGTTAGATTTCCGCCACTAGAGTAGTAGGAACAAAGAACTTGAAGGAATTGGATCGTTGACTCTGTTCATACTATCTTTACATTTATTAATTCTGATGCTTTCATATGCATCTAATTGCCTGTAATTTGAGACTTGTTTAATTAATTTTAAATTATTAAGATCTATACAATGTTCATTATCAACAATATGTTCGGCAACGCAAGATTTATCCGGTCCACCATATCTTATCTGAGCTAAATGTTCTTTAAATCTAGTTAATATTGATCTTCTAGTTTGCCAAACATATTTCTGATTACAATCTTTACAAGAAATTTCATAAATACCCGACCTTTCCAGTGGAGGTGTTTTATATTTTGGATTACCTAATAATTGTTGTAATTTATTATTAGCACTATACACAAGTTTATAATTGACATTCTTAAAAATTCCTTTTAGACCACGGGATAATTCTCTATCAAACGGTATCGAAAAATATTTAGACGTATCTTTCTCCACTTGAAAAGTCGAATTTTCAGAAATCATTAACCTATACCTACGTTTTCTAATTAATTTATCAACTAGTGAAGGAGAATATCCATTACACTCAGCTACATTCCTAATGTAATCTCTTTCTATTTCATATCTTTCGTTGGAAAGTGGGAAACTAAGTAATCTATGAACTAAGAAATTTAAACTAGCCATTTTATGTTCAACACTATGATGTGATTCATTAGGAATATATCTGCGTGTGGTCGTATTTTTCCTATAGATATCAAATTCCAGGCAATTATTAGTATTTCTAATAACTAATACAAAGCTGCAAGTATCCAATCCCTCATTACCAAAATTGTATGCTTTGCCAAAAATTCATAAACCGGACAAGTCTATGCGCCCAATTGTTTCGGCTGTAGGTTCTCCGACTTATAATTTGGCAAAATGGTTATCAAGGGAGTTCGAAAATTTACCTGATCATGAACCTTCTTTCTCAGTTAAAAATAATATTGAATTCATTAACAAAATTAAAGATATAACATTGCATGAAGGTGAAATTTTGGTCTACTTTGATGTATCTTCGTTGTTCCCAAGTGTTCCAATTCCACATATTTTAGGCTACTTAAAGGAATTACTGAACGCAAATGGTCTCGACAACAAAACTGTGAGTGAATATATTGAGCTTACATCGTTATGTATGAAACAAAATTGTTTTCAATTTAATAACAACTTTTTTGAACAGCGGGAAGGTACAGAAATGGGTAATCCATTGTCTCCATTTTTGGCTAATTTATTCATGAGCAGGTTTGAAGTGGAGGCTAAGAATCAGTTTGGGTATTTTCCAAGAGTATGGTTTAGGTATGTGGATGATATTTTTGCTGTTTTTGACACACATTCAGACACTATAGATAATTTTATTTCTAAGTTAAATAATCGTTTTCCTTCCATTAAATTTACGCATGAAATTGAGAACAACGACAGATTACCATTTCTAGATGTATTAGTTATTAGAAATACTAATAATTGCCTGGCATTTGATATCTATAGGAAAAATACGACCACACGCAGATATATTCCTAATGAATCACATCATAGTGTTGAACATAAAATGGCTAGTTTAAATTTCTTAGTTCATAGGTTACTTAGTTTCCCACTTTCCAACGAAAGATATGAAATAGAAAGAGATTACATTAGGAATGTAGCTGAGTGTAATGGATATTCTCCTTCACTAGTTGATAAATTAATTAGAAAACGTAGGTATAGGTTAATGATTTCTGAAAATTCGACTTTTCAAGTGGAGAAAGATACGTCTAAATATTTTTCGATACCGTTTGATAGAGAGTTATCCCGTGGTCTAAAAGGAATTTTTAGGAATGTCAATTATATACTTGTGTATAGTGCTAATAATAAATTACAACAATTATTAGGTAATCCAAAAGATAAAACACCTCCACTGGAAAGGTCGGGTATTTATGATATTTCTTGTAAAGATTGTAATCAGAAATATGTTGGGCAAATTAGAAGATCAATATTAACTAGATTTAAAGAACATTTAGCTCAGATAGGATATGGTAGACCGGATAAATCTTGCGTTGCCGAACATATTGTTGATAAAGAACATTGTATAGATCTTAATATTTAAAATGAATTAAACAAGTCTCAAATTACAGGCAATTAGATGCATATGAAAGCATCAGAATTAATAAATGTAAAGATAGTATGAACAGAGTCAACGGTCCAATTCCTTCAAGTTCTTTGTTCCTACTACTCTAGTGGCGGAAATCTAACTGTTACGCTCAGTTGGCTCTGACTCGGTTGGCTAGATTTTTCCACGCCCACTCGGGGCCCACTGAGCGAGTATATAAACGCTCAACTTGTAGATTGTACTTTAGTTTGTAATCATCTGCTGAAGATGCTAACATGGTTAGCGAAACGCGCGTCCAGTGTAAAAGTAAAAGTGTTTTGGTGTATTGTGGTGATTTAGTGTTTTTATTTTGCTGTGTAACACCAAAGGTTCCAACCCTCAACTGTAATCATTGTTTATCGCCGTTTCTCCATAAAATAAACATTAGTCCGCGGATCTGCATTAACAGGCATACAATTAATCCAATGCACGGTTATTTACCGCACTTCAAGCATTTAACTTCTCTGTGTTTTTTGGATGTCCCCGTTTATTTTTGAAAATTTGTACAGTGTGTCCCATTTTCTTATGTTTTATGGGGTTTCTCGTTTATGAAACGAAGATGCGGTTTTTGCTTTACTGTGATACTTTTTTTTATGAAACTAGAAATGCTACGCACATATTTGTCCTAGCCCTCTTGGTTCTCGAAATACAGGGTGAATTTGAACATTATGCATTTTTCGACTCCCATCATATCTCGGTTACCCTATAGCTTATCGAAAAGGTGAAAATTGAGTTCCGGAGAGTTTTTCACGTAGAATCTAGCGACGTAACAAGTTTTTCGCTGAGAGATATCATCTTATAATATGACTCAAACTAATGTTTTTTTTTAAATGGGACACTCTGTATATCGTGTGCGTCTCAAAAGTGGCTCACACCTATAACTTTTTTATTTTTTTAGATAAGAGACTTGGTATGTTAGTATATGACATAAATTAGGATTAATTGATGTACTCAATTGTTTTTGGTTACTTCCTGGTTCACCGGAAATGACTACAACTTTTGATTTTTAAATGACACCTCCTGTATATTTTAAATTTATTCGATACAAAATGACCCTCTGAATAGAATGACATGTCATATGTCAAATAATGACATTTTCGCTTGAAAGAAAATCGGATTTCAAATTTCAATCTAGAGTGCCATGGCTGGTTAAAAGATGCCCAAATCGTCGTAATTTTAAGCATATCTTAATTTTTTCAATTGAAATGAGAGTGGCTCATTAGCATATTTCGAAAAAGCATTTTTTACGAATAATTTGGTACCACACACTTGGTGTTTCGAGTCAAATTGTTGTTATGAATCGCGCGCATGTTACAATTTCATATAAACCATATTCGAAAATGTCAAAAGTTGACATATGCTATGTTATTCTATTCAGAGTGTCATTTTCTATCGAATAAAGCAACAAAACACCGATACCATTTAAAAATCAAAAGTTGTAGTCATTTCCGGTGAAAAAGGAAGTGACAGAAAACAATTGAATACGTCAATCAATCCTAATTTATGTCATATATTAATATATCAAAACTCGATTTGTTATCTGAAAAAATAAAAAAGTTATAGGGGGTGAGCCACTTTTGAGACGCACCCGGTCAGGGCCTATTTTACCATAAGGCCCGGGCTTTGGGCCCGGTGGTCTGGGGGGCCCGTAAAAGGTTGTAAAATATTCATAATTTCAAATGAAAATTTACACAGCAGAGAAAAAAAACAGTTACCTCTGATAAGGAAAATAGAATTAAATAAAATAGGCTTTAGATTGTTATAATTAATGCAATTTCTAAATTATTTATAAATTTATATCAAAGATACCGGCACCGGCGATTCCCCAATCTAAAAATAACGTTTTATTTTTTTAACCCAAACTAACAAAAAATTTTTTGAATTTTATTGGAAAAGAGGGCCCGAATTTTTGCTTGGGCCTTAGGGCCCGACCAGGTGAAAAATAGGCCCTGCATCCGGTATAATATACTATATTGAATATAGTATATTCATAAATAAGGGAAGAAATGCATTATTTAACTTTTTAACATAAGTCAAACTAGTTTAAAAGAATATCATTTTTTTATTTAATTTAACCAGATAATTTTGCTTTCCGTCATGTTTTCTTAATAAACTACACGGAAAATGAATTTATGCAGCTTAATAAAATATTATAACTATAAAAATTAAATAACGCATTTTTTACCTTATTTATTTATGAAAATAAGTAGAGTGTATACTATATATGTATATAGAAAGCTCATAACAAGACAAATAAAATAAAACATAACAATAAAAAAAATAAAAGAAATCATAACAATAAAAAAAATAAAAGGGTATCCCGTTTAAATAAAAACATAATAGTCTAAGAGCTAGCAACGTTTTCGAGAAAGTATTTAAGACGTCTGGCTCTTTGATATATATTTTACTATGCTCTCTGGAACAGCATGCGGCCCGTCTGGCTGCCGATACCCGTTGCGTTCACTACTGCGCATCAGAAGAAGATCCTATATTTTTTTATTAATTTAGTCCTATAAATTCTAGTATTGAATATAAATCGAACATGTTTCCATAGCGCAGTGCGTAGAGTTTGCGACCACGAACCGATGATTCAGAGTTCGAATCCGGATCAGGTCAAAGACTTTTTTCTTTTATTTTCGTTTATATTCTGATAGTTAAGTATTAAATAATTCTGGTAATTAAATAAAAACAAATATTTAATACTTTACTATCAGAATATAAACTAAATAAAATAAAAAAGTCTTTGCCCCGACCCGGATTCGAACTCTGAATCATCGGTTCGTGGTCGGAAACTCTACGCACTGCGCTATGGAGTTCGATTTATATTCAATACTAGAATTTAAAGGACTAATAAAAATGTAGGATCTTCTTTCAATGCGCAGTAGGGAACGCAACGTTTACCGGCAGCCAGACGGGCCGCATGCTGTTCTAGAGGGCATAATAAAAGATATATCAAAGAGCCAGACATCTTAAAATACTTGTTTTTCCGACGTTGCTAGCTCTCGTACTATAAGTTTGAAGCTGAAAAAAATTCAGCTTCTAACAAAAAACTAGTTACGACTCATTTTTCACCTTTTCGACAAAGCTATGAGACAACCGAGACTTGAAGAGGGTCGAAAAATGCAACATATTCGAAATTCGCCGTATATTTCAGAATCCAAGAGGAGCTAGGAAAAATCTGTGTGTATAGTCTATAAAATGAATAACTTTGAATTTTGACCGTTATTTTTTAGCAACAGGGCAAATATAAAATCCCCCTATCAAAAAACTTACTGATATTCTTTAAATTGAGTGTCTGAACGAATCAGATAGGTAACTCTTTTTACTTTCGTGAAATAGAAAAGGAAAATAATAAAACAATTGACAGTTCTTTCTCTTCTTGTAAAAATCAACACAATTGTCAAAAGTAAAGTGTCATCAGCTTTTGACATTTCTAAATATCAGACCAATGCCGTCTCTAATAGAACAGCCTCGTAGCGAGATTTATGACGTCACGCTAGTGAGATACTAAGGATTAATAAATATGTTGTAGAATACATGGAAAAGATAATAATTCCTCGTATTTTTGGTTTGTATTTTAAAAATGATACAGTTTACATGAAATATACATAATATACAGTTAATTAATACAATATATATATACCTATTTATAGTAATAAATACTTTGGCAAATTAACTATGAACCATACAAATGCAGCAAATGTTTTACAATATACAAATAATAAATAGATACATAAGATAATGGGTAAAATAAAATATATTTTAAATTTTGGGGTTTGAAAATCGATCTAATTTAACAAAAAAAAACATTCAATATCTACTAATAGTGATGTATTATTATTTGCATTCACAAAATGTATATGTATATTTTGCAAGTATCAATGTTCGACATATTATGTTTGCAAATAATACAATATCATAGAAAAAAAGGCGTCAGCGATGGCTATGAAATAAAGATCGCTGTCATTTTATATGTAAAATTATTCTAAAATTTTTGATTTTCTTGGGATTTAGGTTCGGGAAAAACGCTGATTAAGTTTTCATTTATTTTTTCATTATTTTTTTTGGTTTAAAAAAAAACGTGGTTTAAAAAAAACATCATAGCCTTTATCAGTGTTGTCATATGAAAAAAATAGTGTCGAATGTATTCCAAAAAATTACATATAAAATATTCACAGCACACCACATAATGTTTACTGCAATTAATAAACTAATATAAACTTGTAAAAAGATGACCACGTATTTTTTTAAATTATTATTCTTAACACTAAAACTATCTACATTGACTATGGAGTACGATTTCAGTCATAGTAAGTAGTAGACATTGAATGTTGTTTGTTAAATTAGATCGATTTTCAAACTCCAAAATTTAAAATATATTTTACATTTTACCCATTATCTTATGTACCTATTCATTATTTGTATATTGTAAAACATTTGCTGCATTTGTATGGTTCATAGTTTATTTGCGGAAGTATTTATTACTATAAATAGGTATATATATATTATATTTATTAACTGTATATTATGTATATTTCATGTAAACTATATCATTTTTAAAATACAAACCAAAAATAGGAGGAATTATTGTTTTCCATGTATTCTACAACATATTTATTAATCCGTAGTATTTAACTAGAGTGACGTCATATATCTCGCTCGAGGCTGTTCTATTAGAGACGGCATTGCGTCAGCATGACCGCAAGTTGCTAACCTAATAAAATTAACACTAGAAAAGCCCGCGGGAACTGTCAAATTCAAAGTTATTCGTTTCACAGACTATAGCATCTCTAGTTTCATAAAAAAGTACTACAGTGATATGAAATCCGCATCTCTGTCACTCTAAAGACGAGAAACTTCATAAAACAGTAGAATGAGGCACCCTGTACAGATAGGCAAATTAAATTCCGAACAACTTTTATGTTTGGCATTTCGATATATTTTCACGTAACCGTATTTTCTGCATTTTTTTATTACCGCTATGGACAGCTGCATAAAAATGCATTTTTTTACTACCGGACATACTTGAATTAATTTTTTTATTAGTCAATAGTAAAAAATCCGAGTCGTTCGGAACTTTTTTGAACACTGTATATAGGTCAGTAACCTACCTTATTATCGTCCCAACTTAATTTTTTAACCCGCGAAGTTGCTGTCGGCCAAAGTGGAGGTTGGGGAGCTGGATGTATTTTGGAGCTGGGTATTCTGGGTTTTGTTTCGCTAGAAATGCCTTCCAAAGCAGCAACTGTATCCTCACGAGTTTTTTCTCCTCCAAATACAGGATTGCTTACTTCTCGCTTTTGCTGTGACTTTGTATCAGGCGCGCTCTGATATTCGTTCCGTCTCCTAAAAATTATGTTAATTAATTTAGTTATAAATCAAACCTTTTATATAGTTTTGATAACGAAACGAATTGTTTTGAAAACGATAACGAAGGAAGCGAAGTATTTGAATAATATTGGTACCTTAATTAAGCCTGAACCCCATTAGCAACACGCCACGTCACGCCACGCCATTCTACGCTACGAATATTTGTGCGTATATTTTTCCATTTAATTACATGTGTTGTGCACACACTAAGACCCACGCCACGCCACGCTATCACACGTGTGATAGCCGATTCATAAGGCTTAGATCTTACCGACGCGTGTTAAGGCGTGTTGTTCCCCGCTTGCCTCTCTATCCCCGTAGCTATCTACTTTTGTAGTTAGCTACGGTAAAGGTTGCGGTGTAAAAAAGATGTGCAATTAATAAAAAAAGGTACGGAATTACGAGTTCATATACATTCTGCTCAGTATAGAGACCAGAACACACGCCATATAGCATGAGAATTGATAGGGAGAAATTTAAAACTTACAGGTAAGGGTTTATATAACTAAAACTGTTACTTTTATAAAATCTAAATTAATATTTAATTCCACCCCATTCAAACTATTTATTTTTGCCAAGGGACACTGGCGTGAGCTTTCTACAAGTTTTTTTATTTAGAGTAGTAAACAAGAAAATTCAATATTAGTAATAACATAAGAACTGTACATTAAATTACGATATTATCGATTTTAATTCACACTAATCAAAATAAAGTACAAACTGCCTCAAGTTCTTTAAGTTATGAAAGGCACCATATTTATTACGATTGATTACGATTGGTGATTCTGTGCACCTAAAATATTTTTCTTACACTTTGTAACACCGTAGCTGCAGCTGTAAATTCTTCTAAAAATTCTTCGTCGCTAGACGATCTGTTTGTACTTGCTAAGGACACTTGTACTTGCTAAGGAAACAAAATATTTAGGAATCATTCTGGACTCGAATCTTTTCTGGAAAAGGAATACGGAGGAAAGAATGATAAAGGGAATAAATGCATTCTATGCATGTAACAACTGGAGAAAGGAATAACACAGCGCAAGCTGTGCTAGAAGCAATTCTGGACATGCAATTAATCGACTGGCTCGTGAAGGATCTGGCCGCTAAGGGTGCCATAAGATTAAGGGAATCTGTGGAACCAGACCAACTACTGTCACTCGAGGATATTGTCAGTGATAGGGAAAATCATGGCAAACACGAGTCCACATCTGCTAGACCAGAACACGGACTATAACATGATTTTGGAGAAAAGATAAGGAATCGCACCTCGACAAGAGAAGAATGGAAAGCAACCGAATTATGAATACTGAAGAGATAGCAGTCTACACAGATGCTTCCGCAGCAACTTCAGGAGGCACAGGTATAGGCATTTTCTCACAGGAACTAGACATTCGACATTCGACGGTCCTTAAGGCTATCGGATGGCTGTAATGTTCTACAAGCAGAAGTTTACGCCATAAAGGAAGCGGCTAGTTGTATACGAGAGAAAATTGCTGATAGACCAATAGGGGATATCGTGATATACTCTGACAGCTTGGACGCTTTAAGAAGCATCATCATGCAATCAGTGAGATCGAAAACTGTGATGGAATGCCGAGAAGCACTGTCCTGGCTGCCTCAAGGCGGGGCTACTCTGTGCTGAGTGCCAGGTCACAGCAATGTGGTGGGCAATCAGAAAGCAGACAGACTCGCCAAAAGGGGGAAAGGAAGAAGAAACCATAGAGCACATGTTGTACCACTGTCCGGCACTGGAATACCGACGCTTTAAAATTTTAGGGGAAGGTTTATTGGAGGGACTAGAGGAAGCAGCAGAAGCCAACATCAGCGACATCGGGAACTTTGCAAAGAGCAGGAAGTGCTTTAACGCAAATAAAGGATGAGAGGAAGGTTTGGTACAACAATACTGGGGTATCGCAATGGGCCCACGGCCTCCAATTGAGGGATCAAACATGATCCCAAATCCCAGCAACCTAACCTAACCTAGACGATCTTTGTACGTCGTTCTTGAGACAATACTAATCACTTTTCTGACTATAATAAACATTTTATAGAATTAAATAAGTCTGTTATCGCGCGGCTTGTTACTAATAACTCCCCCGTTACACCCTCTCCCACGTCGCAACACGTGGCGTGTTGCTAATGGGGTCCCAGCTTTATTGTCCCACTAGTTCACTATTCCATTGAACTTAAGATATTATTTCAATACCTAGTATCGTTTTTCATTATGTTTTAGATTTATCTTTAATATTTAAGCTTTACTTGAATAATAATCGGTTAATGCTATTAGAACAATTCATAATAATAGATGATACGTTTTAACACAGTAAAACGTATTATTTCAATAAATAAATGATATGTTTACTAACGTAGTAAAAGATATGTGTAATGTAATCTGTAAATGAGTCCAATAATTTTTGGACAGATTGCGTTATTAGTAAATAACCATTTTTAAATTATTATATTATGAGATTATTATTGTATTTTTTTTACAAACAAATTTTAACATGAACACTCATCAAATTAACAAAAAATAACACTTTATTTGGGTATTTACGAGGGTATTTATTACTACTTACACTTTGCAAATGTAAGCTACTAAGAGAGCTACGACAAAACTCAATAGTAATAGCACAGTACCAAGACTGGCTAATAGGACCGGAGCACTAGGGAATGATTTAGCTGCGTCCATTTCTATAGATAAGTCACCATCTGTAGAAAAATGAACTGTGACAGGAACACTGGCTCTCTTTGGTGGAGTACCACTGTCTGTCGCTGTAACGGTAAAGGATGCTGTCTTCTCTTGTAAGCCTAAAATCCAAAAGTAAATATAAAAAAAAAACATAAATTGGAAAGAGTCATCAATTATCAATTTTAAAATTATAAAAAATGCTCATCAATTATTTTTAAAATTAACAGATATTAATAAAAATATTTATTTTATAAGTAATTCAAATTTTACACTATACTTTAATGAAAATGTTTACTCGGAATATACTTAATGTGACATTTGATTTTTATGATTTTTTTTGTTGGTACGACGCAAGATACGACGGTAACAAATCTTCCTATAAAATTAATGCCAAAGTTTTTATTATTTGTATAGACGTGACGTCATCACTAGCGGGACTTTTGATTTTTATGATTTTCTCATGATGCAGCGACGGCATTATCCATATTACCGACATTATTATTAAAATGTATACCTACATACATATACAGAGTGCGTTTTCTACGATGATATCTCAAATTAAATCAAAATCTTATTATTAATTTTAATAATTAATTAATTTTTTCAAATGGAACGAAGGTATCTCATTATCATATTTGGAAAAAGCATTTTTTACGAATAATTTGGTACCCATTTTAAACATTATTATTGAAAACATCTTGTTTTCTTTTGTTTAAGAGAGTTTTGCCTAAGATCTTATTGATATAGGGTACAAGCAAACTAACAAACTACCCCTATTTCAATTAGTTGCATACCTTTAATATCCCTTGATCTAATTTCGCCGTTAGGGGTAATGAAAAATAGATGAGAATCCGGGCCACTGAGAGATAAAGTTAAACGGTCTCCTCGGTCTCCATCAGCAGCTTCTACTTTTCCAACTAAATTGTGAACTCCTCCATTTGCGTCCACAACAAATTCGTAGTGGTTGTATCGAAATCGGGGTTCCCATTCGTTTACATTATCCACTGTAACATTTACTACGCTAGAGTCGTTCTGAAACAAAATTAATATGATTTGGTAAAAATATCTACATATACAGGGTGGTCCGAATTGTATTCCGGAAACTTCGGCAGCATATTCTGCAGATAAAAATAAGTAAAAAAGTTCGTATAAATGTACGTCCTAAAATGCTTAGTTTCGGAAATACAGGGTGTAGAAGTTTCATTTTCATTTCGATATTTTTTTCCCAATAATTTATGAAGCAACGTCAATATTTGGATAAAAATTGGTGCCTAGGAGTTTTTTGATATGAGAAATTTGATTTTGATGTTAGTAGGACTCCTACTTGTTGAGGGCGCCACCTACATATTTTTTAACTGGTTTGAAGAGTAATAACTTTTCGTCCGTACCTGTATAAAACTACTGAGTAAAAAAATATACATTTACAACGTTGTTTACGTAAAAAAAGTCTCTTGGTAAAAATCGCTACGAGTAATGGTTTTCGAGATATTTGGAATCGAATTTATCAATACCTGTCATCATTGACATAAATTAAACATGTTACCGAGATGTTAACTAAATAGTTATTCGACTGAGAAATCATGAATTTGAAATGTTTTTGTGTCAAAAGTTTAACAGAAACTGTTTTATTTGGCTGATTAGTTTAAGAAAATAAAAAGTTCCCAAATTTATCATTTTAGTCAAATAGGTAACTATCTACTTAATATGTTTATTTTTTGTCAATAATGAGATGTATTGACTGTTCCCGTTCTAAATATCTTGAGAACGGTTGCTCATAGCGATTTTTACCAAGAGACATTTTTTACGTAAAAAATCACGGAAATGTATATTTTTTCACTCAGTAGTTTTATACAGGTACGGACGAAAAGTTATTACTCTTCAAAACAGTTAAAATGCGTGTAGGTGGCACCCTCTAGAAGAATAGGAGTCATATTGACATCAAAATCAAATTTCTCATGTCAAAAAACTTCCAGACACCAATTTTCATCCAAATATTGATGTTACTTCACAAAATATTTGGAAAAAATCGAAATAAAAATGAAACTTCTACACCCTGTATCTTCGAAACTAAGCATTTTAGGACATACATTTATACGAACTTTTTTACATATTTTTATCTGCAGAATAAGCTGCCGAAGTTTCCGGATTACAATTCGGATCATCCTGTATAATAGATTTGAGAGAATTAATCTTAACTGAACTAATCAAACGGAGTTACAAATTTATTCAATAAAAAATAAATAAAATAGTGTGTTGTGTAGCAAGTTCGTTGTCATCCGTTGTATCAAAATTTACAAAATTTTATGTTGAAAGTTAATAAGCATTTTATCCCAAAAATAGTACTAAAGTTCTATTTAATTACCGTTTTTCCATCAGTTGCAAAAACTTTGAATAAATATTCTTGTTTGGTCTCATAATCAAGCTTTTCCTTAAGCGTCAATTCACCCAAAGTATTAAGAGCAAAAGTCTTCAAAATATTTTGGTCGGACACGAAATATTTCAAATGATGTCCAGGTTTATTGTTGGAAAGTGTGGCGATCAATGTTCCAGGCATCGCAGATTCGGACACACGAAAATTAAATATTGGATGTATAAATTTTATGCCTTTTGATGAATGATGGCGATTTACTGTTAAAGTCGCCAAGGCATACCTAAAAACATAATGTTAATTTATTACGGAAACTATCATAGAAGCATAAAATATTGATTGTTATCAATTAATGTCTTAAGGAGATATTTCACAATGTTTTATGTGCTTTAATACGTGTATGTACCCATATGTAGGTAAGGAAACATATACAGGGTCTTGCAATAGTGCGTCGGGCATCTGTAGGTCCTAGAAAAAAAACTTTGTTTAAATGCAAACCTGAAATATATACTAGGATGTATTTCAGGAAAATATTTTAACGTGTGAGTGGATACGGATGATTTTTTTTAAATGGAACACCCTGTATATTATTGCATTTTTGGCTTCCTTTCAGATCACTTTACATAATCCTAAGATATGAGTAAATTTATTTCAGAGAATATTAATAAATAAATAAAAATATATATTTTTCAACCTTCCTTACCAAAAATTATTACAAATACAAGAACCTGCTCTGAAATCAAAACTATATTAGGTATTTACTTTAGATGGTCTATACGTACTTTGCTATAAATATCGTAATCTTAAATCATACAGGGTGTTCAAAATTCTACGAATATTTTCCTGAAATTCATCCTAGTACATACTTTAAGTTTGCACTTAAACAAAATTCCCAATATTTTTTTCAAAGAGCTACAGATTATAGTACGAGGGCTAGCAACGTCGGAAAAACAAGTACCTATTTTAAGACGTCTGTTCGTATATGTATGATACCACTTCCTGACGTTCGATTGTGTTCATACCAAGTTCATATTGTATAATCGGGAAAAAACGGCGTTAGCGATAGCTATGAAATGAATATCACTGTCATTTTATATGTAAATTTATATGGGAAATGTCATCGATCGTCCTTTTCCAGCCAACTGGACGCCGTTTTTTTCAGAAGCATATCAATTGATACCTTAATATAGTACTCTATTACGATACATGGCGTTCGATTGGGCTTAAACTTGGTATACTATATCTTCAGTGACATTGTAATATCATGGTACCATGGAGCATATAAAGTGGTACCTTCTATAGTACCATATTTGATGACATAGCAATATTAGGTACATGGCGGCAATAGGGCTTAAACTTGGTATACTACGTATTTTCGGTGACATTGTAATATGATGGTACTATGATGCAATCTCCTCAAAAATACAGGAAATCCTAGATGCAATTCACGGCTGGTGCACACTGGAACAATTAAGTGTAAACCCACAGAAAACCGTGATCATACCATTCACCAGAAGAAGGAAAACAGACAAACTGAAACCGCCCATTCTTCTTGGTGAGACAATTCCGTTTGCGGAGGAAGTTAAGTATCTGGGATTAAACCTGGACAAAAACTTAGCTGGACCTCTCATCTGGAAAAAAAAACATCAAAAAGGCTTGCTATGCTCTATGGGCATGCCACCGAATTTAATGGTAGAAACTGGGGATTAAACCCCAAAATATGTACTGGCTATACGTGACGGCCATCAGACCTATTATCACGTATGGGTACACGGTTGCCTGAGTGGCAGAAAGCCAACCAAATAACAACAAAGAATAAATTGTCGAAACTACAACGACAAGCATGCTTAGCGGTGACTGGTGCCTCCATTCCACGCCGTCAAAAGCTATGGAAACCCTACTCGATCTACCTCCTCTTCAAATTCGCTTTTGGAAAGAGAGGCGAGATGGAGCTACATATAGGTTTCTAAATATAGCACGAGGAAGCTTCTCAAGGAACAATTATGTTCATACAAAACCGGCTAGTAGAAGAACTACAGTCGGATGAGATTATGGGAATGATCTCGGATCTTACACCACCAGTCCAACTCTTGACGCGCACCTACAACGTCCTGTTTCCGAACAGGGACGAGTGGGATAAGTCGGGAAACGGAGTAGCAGTCCAAAGACTGAGAGACTGAACTACTGCAGCAGTCCAAAGACTGAGATCTATCACAGTCTTGGAAAACACACCACGATCTTCCAAGCTGAGCTATATGCTATTGAAACCTGTGTGCAACTGCTGGTAGAACAGCAATACACCGGGAAAACAATATGCATATTTTCGGATAGTCAAGCTGCGCTGAAAGTACGCTTTGAGGCAACGAAAAGCACGTCTATGACGATTCTTCATTGTAAGAAACTACTCAATATACTGGGAGATAGGAACAAAGTGTCACTAATATGGGATACCGGGACATAATAGGCCTAGAGGGAAATGAACGTGCTGATTCCCTCGCCAAAATTGGTGCAGACTCGCCATTCGTGGGCCCAGAACCGACACTTAGCGTTCCCAAAATCTCGCAAGAGACAGGCTCTGTGAATGGGTTAGGGGTGAGACATTCCGAAACTGGAATGACAGTCCCGGATGGAGCATGCCAAGAAAATCCCTAGCAGGGCCATCCAAACATAGAACAGGAGAACTCCTAAAGGCCGGTAGGAATGGAACGCGTGTGTGCTCACTGCACGTGTACACGGGCCACTGCCGGCTGAGATCTCACCTACAGAGGACGGGACTGGTGGAAGACGCCGAATGCCGACTCTGTATGGAAGATGATGAAACAATGAAGCACGTTATGTGTACCCTGACCCGCAGGAGCAGGACCAGGTTTGAGATGTTTGGCAAACCCATGCTAGACCTATCAGACCTAGGAGACATATCGCCCTCAGACATAACGGCCTATATTAAGAGGCTGGGTCTTGAGGATGAACTTTGACGCTCTTGTAAATTAGAGCTTGTAGAAACTGAGCCACAATAGGCCCTCGCGGCCTCAGTGGAGGGTCCCCTATGGGACCCACTCTTAGTCAAATACAATACAATACAATACTATGATGCATATCATCTGGTACCATAATATAGTACCATATTATGTACATGGCGTTCGATTGGGCTTAAATTTGGGATACTACGTATCTTCGGTGATATTGTAATATTATGGTACCAAGGAGCATAATAAGAGGTACCATAATATAGTACTATATTACGATACCATTTCCTGGCGTTCGATTGGACTTAAATTTGTTATACTACGTATCTTCGGTTACATTGTAATATGATGGTACTATGATGCATATAAGTGGTACTTTAATATAGTACCACATATTTCAATACCATTTCCTGGCGTTCGATTGAGCTCATATTTGATATATACTTGCGTATTTTGATGACATTGCATTATTATGGCAAATTCATGGCATATCAACTGGTACCATAATATTGATTGCGCTTAAACTTGGGATACTACGTATTTTCGGTGACATTGTAATATGATGGTACTATGATGCATATAAAGTGGTACCTTAATATAGTACCATATTACGATACCATTTCCTGGCGTTCGATTGGGCTCAAACTTGGTATACTACGTATCTTCGGTTACATTGTAATATAATTGAACTATGATGTATATAAAGTGGTACCTTAATATAGTACCATATTACGATACCATTTCATGGCGTTCGATTGTTCTTAGATTTGGTATACTACGGATCTTCGGTGACATTGCAATATTATGGTACCTTAAAGTATATCGAGTGGTATATAGCATAATATAGTACACTATTATGATATCATTTCCTGGGGTTCGATTGGGCCCAAATTTGGTATACTTGCGTTTCTTTATAAAGATTTGTTTAATTAATAATTTTAATTTATTTTACGAATTTTAATTTATTGTTCGATGTCGTGACAGCAACTTTTATGCCGAACTAATATATTATTAATTGTACCTGTCACTTTTTAAAATCTACCTAGGTCTATATAAATAACGTGGCAAACGGAAGAAATTTGTTATTATAGTATTTTAGTCAGTTAACATTTTTGTACTGCATTTTAATAAATTATTTCATTATTATTAAACTTATATTTCATTACTAACGTTCCAGCATTAATAAATATCACTATCAATCGCCCTGTCTATTATTAATTTTAAAGGGTAATTAAAGGTATTTTCTTAGTTAACATTGCCAGGTAGTGTATATTAAAAATATGTATATGTTTTGTGATAATATACTTAAAATTATTTTAATAGCTAAAGGAATAATTAATATAAGTGTATCTGACAAAGAAAAGAAGAATAGAAAGAAACACATACTGCATTATACACAATACAAGGAATGGGATGCCAATTCCGAGTCTTTTGAATCTGGCAACTCTGCATCAATTTAGCTTGAGCTATAAGGCCGTCGATCCAAAACCGAAAGTTCAAAATTTCTAATTATATTCTGATTATGATATTGTCGCGCCATCTAGTATTCTATTTGTGCAATTTTAGCTCTTTCATTTCGAGTATATTTCTGTTGCGTAGCTAGATATTCTGTGCTACTGAGCATTGAAAGAAGATCCTATATTTTTATTAGTTCTTTAAATTCTAGTATTGAATATAAATGGAACATGTTTCAATAGCGCAGTGCGTAGAGTTTCCGACCACGAACCGATGATTCAGAGTTCGAATCCGGGTCAGGTCAAAAACTTTTTTATTTTATTTTCGTTTATATTCTGATAGTAAAGTATTAAATATTTTTTTTTATTCAATTACCAGAATTATTTAATACTTTAATATCAGAATATAAACGAAAATAAAATAAAAAAGTCTTTGACCTGACCCGGATGCATTTAAGCAAAATGTACCATTATATAGTCCATTGTGCGATTATCCCTGCCCTCATTGGCCCAGACTAAACGCTGGTACGTTTTGCCGAACGTGACTAAAATGCGGTACATTTTGCCACGTTAGCGTGAAGCATGGTGGCGCATTCCTAACGCAGGTACATGTTGCCAAACTTTACTAAAATGTGGTACATTATGCCTGATGCCGAGCGGCATTAATCTTTTCATTTGCTCTGATAAAAATATTATTTACAAATTAATTGTCGTTATACAATAATATAGCTGATATGCTGTAAAATTTGCTGCTTTTGGCTTTTTTAGGAATAAGTATAATTTAAAGGCAAAATTATACTAAGCCAATCGGAGTTGGCGGATTGAGATGAGTGATAAGAATGATACTCTATGTTATTATTACTCTATACTCTATGTATTCTGTGGCTAATAAGCTGATGTATAATTTAGAGGTTATGAAAACAATGATGTCTTGTCTTGAAAATTATGCGCATTAATTAATGTAAAAAGTTTTTCTGTCAAGTTGATCAATATAAAGTTTTTCCTAAACTATAGCGTCTATTTTCCACAAAAGATCCCACATACCTCAACAGGTTATGGGCCCAGATGTTTAAGATAAATAGTTGGAAAAAGTAAGAAAAAGTTCCGCTGCAGTCAGCTAAAGAAAATTGAAGTTCAAGTTAAGGTCAACTGACAGTAAAATGGGCTCACTAGCTGTACCGATTTTAGAAGCCAATAATTTTAACAACTGGTTGTTTAGAATAAAGATGATATGTAGAAAAGAAGGATGTGTAGAAGCACTTGAGAATGACCCACCTGAAACGACAGAATCAGCTACAGTAAAGGCTAATTTTCAAAAGGAAGATGCCAAAGCACAGGCAATTATTGTCACAGGGTTATCAGATAAACACCTTGATATTGTGAAAGATTGCGAGACTGCAAAGACACAGATTGAAGCTTTGAAGAGTGTGTTTACAAGAACAACTTCTTTGACTAAATTAGCAGTTTGGCGCAGATTAATTAATCTGAAAAATGAACAGTGTGAAAACATGGAAGATTTATTTTTAAAATTTGACACCATTGTACGGGACCTTAAAGAACACAAGACAGTATTGAATGACAGCGACAAGGTATGCCATTTACTATTATCTTTGCCTGAAAGGTATAACTCAGTAGTTACAGCTTTAGAAACTATAGAAAATGTAAAGTTTGATTTTGTTAAGTCACGACTTTTAGATGAAGAACTGAAAATAAAAGCGAAATCTGAAGATTTAAGTAGTTTTAAAGCCTCAGCAGGTTGCTTCAGATGTGGAAGCCAATCACATTGGCAATCATCATGTCCTAAAAATAAAGACAGAGGTGAATCATGGCGTGGTAGAGGTGTTTATATTAGAGGATATAATAGAAGAGCGAGAAGTGGAAGATCATATAGAGGTGGTGGTCGCAACTACAGGCAAAATGAGAGAGAAGACAGGCAAGCACATATGACAGAGGAAACAGAAGGTGAAGTACAACTTTATGCAGCAAACCTATGTTTAGAAACAGATGGTAAAATAACAATGGTTCTTGATTCCGGTGCTAGTAACCACTTTTTAAAGGAAGAACTCGAGAAATATATGGTAAATATCAGAAAACTAGATAGACCAGTAATAATACATATTGCAAATGGTGAAAAGTTGCAAGCGAACAAAATTGGAACATTGAAGACACAATGTCAAAGGCAGAAAATATCGATTGAAGCATTAATTGTTAAAAACTTAAAACATAATTTATTATCAGCGTCAAAATTGACATCAAAAGGGTACACTATAGTAGTAGAAAGAGATAAAACAACAATAAAAGGAGAAAGTTTTTCTTTGAAATGTGAAATGAAGAATGGGTTGTACCTGCTACAATTAGATGAGGTAAAAGATCAAGAACAGTGTAATGTCACAGTACAAGAGCAAGGATTGTGGCATAGACGTCTTGGACATCCAGGAAATGATGCGTTAATACAGCTTGGGTTACCAACTGAAAAGAAAATATGCTCTACATGTATGGAAGCAAAAGGGGTAAGGTGTTCTTTTAAAAACAGTGTAAAAAGGACAACAAAAATAGGAGAACTAATCCATACAGACATATGTGGTCCTTTTAATCCAACTGCATATGATGGTTCCAGATATTTTCAGACAATCATTGATGATTACTCACATTTTACCATAGTAAAGACACTGAAGACTAAGAATGAAGCTGAACAGAACATTAAAAACTTTATTGAGGAAGTTGAGACACAAAAAGAAGTAAAAGTTAAAGCTATAAGAGCAGATAATGGAGGTGAATTTGTATCGAATACTTTTAAGGTATTTTGCATGAACAAAGGAATAGCTTTGGAATATACTATGCCCCATACACCACAAGAAAATGGAACAGCTGAACGAATGAATCGGACTTTATTAGACAAGATTAGAACAAAAATCATAGAATCAGCAATACCTAAAACACTCTGGTGTGAAGCTCTAAAATGCTCTGTTTATGAGCTAAACAGACTCCCTACAAAAGCATTACAAAGAGGAATGACACCTTCTCAAATCTGGAATAATAGGAATGATCTAAGCAAACTCAGAGTTTTTGGGTGCAGATCCTGGTATACCAAATTACCAAAAGGTAACAAACTGGATCCTAGAGCAAAGACAGTGGTAATGGTAGGCTATTGCGGTGGTGGATACAATTTATGGTCACCAGATGAACAGAGACTAATAAAATCCAGAGATGTTAGATTTGATGAATCAGTAATGGAATTTAAAGAAAGAAATAATAATAAAAAGCAAGAAACAAACCAGAAAACTATTAGTTTTTCAGAACAAGATAAAGAAAATGAAAATTTACAAGAAAATGACCAGAACATTGACCCAAATGAGACTTTATCAAACAGTTCAGGAGATGAATTTCAAGATTCAGGAAATGAACCTAACAATGAAATAGAAGTGCCAGAAACAACAACTACCAGAACTGGAAGAACAACAAAAAGACCAGGCTATTTGACAGATTATGACATGCATGTTGCTTACTGTTTGCTTACAGCAACAAGTACAGAACCAAGAACGTTTCAAGAAGCCAATCTACAAGATGAATGGAAAGAATCTATACAGAAAGAATTAAGTTCACACATAAATCTAGAAACTTGGTCTGAAGTTTATGTTTTACCAGAAAATGTGAAACCAATAGATACAAGATGGATATTTAAGCAGAAGGAAGATGGCACGAAGAAGTCCAGATTAGTGGCTAAGGGATTTCAAGTTCCATATAATGGAGAAGAATTTGATTATGCTCCAGTATGTAGAATTTCTACCATAAGGCTCATGCTATCCATTGCAGTTGAACGAAACTACTTAGTTGAGCAAATAGATGTGCCAACAGCATTTCTCAATGGAGAAATTGATACTGATGTTTACATCAAAAAGCCTGAAGGATTGGTGAGCAATTTTAAATTTTTCAAATTAAAAAGGGCACTATATGGTTTAAGAAATTCACCCAAATGCTGGAATATAAAATTTAACGATATAATGACGAATTTAGGGTTTATAAGGTCAAACTACGATTATTGTTTGTATCTAAAAGAAATTATTTACCTAGTTTTATACGTAGACGATGCACTCATAATGGGAACAAACGAATAAGTTGATACACTAATTCAAAATCTTTACAATGTATTTCAGGTAAAAAAAATGACAAAAATCCAATCATTTTTAGGAATGCAATTTGAATTTAAAGAAAATTATATTAAGGTCCACCAGACAAGAATGATCGAAAGACTTTTAAAAGAATTTGAAATGGAACAAACAAAACCCATGGAAGCGACACCCATGGAAGTAAATTTCCATATCTTTTAAAAGAATTTGAAATGGAACAAACAAAACCCATAGAGACACCCATGGAAGTAAATTTCCATATCTCTGAAGAAGAAGAAATATTACAAAATGTAACATACCGAAGACTTATTTGCAGTTTAATGTACATTTCAATAACAACGAGACCTGACATTTGCCAAAGTGTCTCACTATTGAGTAGTGATGGGCAAAACTGTTATTTTTAGATAACAGTTGAAACTGTTATAGTTATTTATAAAAAACAGCTTAAAATAACAGCTTAAAAATAACATGATTCTTTATTTTACTGCTAAATATCTGAAAGAGTATGAGATGCTCACCGCCAGGCGTATTAACGCAGTTGCAAGTTGCAACAATGACGGGCTCGGTGGTAGTATTTCCAGGGTGTCAAAAACATAATCTAAATATCGATTGTTATCTAAAATACCTCTCTAAAAACGGTGGTTATTTACAAATAAGCGCTGTTTACAAATTGCGATATAAAAAAAGCCAAAATTCCGCCACTCGTCTATACCTACACGTTGCGATCTACCTACGCCTGCCCTCGGTCCGCATAGATCTGAATTGCGTGCAGCAGTGTACAGCGTGCATCTCACTCGACGGGCGAGAAGCTCTTAGTTATGATTTTACCATTTGCGGTCAAAAATAGCAATATAAGAAAATGTGTAGTATATTCTTCATAAGTAAACCAACTACACACTCAGAGTTCAGATTAATTTTACACTTAAACTAGCGTATACCCGCGAACTTCGTTCGTCAAAATTAATAATTTCTAATGTAAGGTGATGATAAAGCAAAACAAAAGAATTTCCATTGACATACAAAACTGGATAAAATTTTCTCACATTTGCCAAAAATAAGCTTTCTAACGTCGAGCAGTTTAAAGCAGAATCGTGGTTAATCAATTACTCAACTTTTGGAACATCCTGTATGATTTTTTAAAAATTTTCAAAATATGTAAAAAAAATAAAATAAATTATGCGTGTCAGGCGTTTCCCGAAAGACTAACCGTTTTTTAAATAACAAATATTGTAATATTTGAGGGGCGTTTTCACCTTGTTGAATTTGAGATTCTGAGAAACCCCTCCTTATCGAACCTCAACCCCACAGTCAGTCCGTTTGCAAAAATCAGCTTTAAACGTCCAGCAGTTTAAGCAGAATAGTGATTACTCAATGGTCATATTTTATGAAACACCCTGTATATATTTTAAAAATCTTAAAATATGTAAACAACATAATAAAATATACGTGTTTTAAGAGTTTTCCGAAAAACTCACCGGTTTTTAAATAAAAATATTCTAATATTTCAGAGTAGTTTCACCCCCCCTTAGAATTCGAGTTTCGAAAATCCCTCTTTATCGAACCTCTACACACTAAAAGTCAATCCGTTTTCCAAAATCAGCTTTTTACGTCAAGGGACTTTAAGCAGGATCGTGATTAATCAATGACCAGATTTTTCAAAACACCCTGTATACATTTTAAAATCTTAAATATTATTCTGAAATTTTTCAGAATAAATAAATATACCTAAATATTGAAACTTAATAAGTAAGGTACTGAACCATACAGCGCCATAATATCTCGACCTCCGTTATGCTCGTAACAGGTTGAAACAGAATGTAGGTATCTAAAACAACAACTGATGGGCGTTATTCCCCAACCTGTTTTCGAACCTCCATCGACAATCGACCGATGCAGCAGCGTTCTTTCCCACACCGATTATCTCGATCGCCGCGCCTGTTATGCTCGTAACAGGTTGAAAAACAACATATCTAAAATGACTGCTTCTCCAACCCGTTGCGAGCCTCCATCGACAATCGACCGATGCTGCAGCGCTCCTTTCCCACTCCTGTTATCTCCACCGCCAGGCGTTATGCCCGCAACTGTTTCAAAAAACCTGCTTCTTTTATATGGGTACGAACATAGTGGAGGCAGGTTTCTGCTTTCTGGCAACCAGCGCCGTCTCTGGGGACCTATTCTTGACCACTCGCATCTTCAAATATCGCTCGCATCTCGCATCTCCTAAAAAGCCATATAACAATACACAGATGCGTAACTTTGCGTATATGCATCACGTGTATTGTATATGGCTATTTCGGAGATGCAGCGAAGGGTTCGGAAGTAGATAATTAAAGGAAATTTACCTGATTAACTAACCTAACCTAACCAAACCATATTCAAACGCCGCGCCCGCCTCACCGGGGCCGCGCATAGTGTATTGGTCTATAAACCTGGCCTAAAGTGATATTTTTTATTTTCATTTTTATCTTAACTGAATACAAATCTATAAATTCTAAATGTAAGCACGTTTATTAGTTATTAGCTTTTTTTTAAGTCGTAAGTTGACTATCAAATAAATAATATATTTTAGTTAAAAGTATGAATTATCTTGAGTGTATTCTGAATACTTCAAAAGATTATAAAAATAGTGGAATTGTTTGTAGTGCTTTTTGCAAATTGTTCATAATAACTGTCATGATGGATACAGAGCCAGCTTTGTTTGT